AAACATCATGCGTTGTCGATTACAGAGAAAGTCGAAATGCTAATAAAAAAAATAAAAAAAAATAAAATTAAAATGAAACAAAAGAAAAAATGTATGTATTCAGTTGGTGAGGATGAACATTTCATTTGGTTTGAGTTTCTTTAAATTAGTGTTTGGCCGTCATCTCCTTTTTCCAAACTCCGGACGCCCCAGGTTTGGGAGTGACGTCACACATTGCCACTGCCGGGCGCAAAAGGTGGGGCGAAACTGCCCTACACTTCAGTCTAGAAACGGCGGCGTGGAAATCACATCCAGAACGTGTATAAAATCTAACGGCCTCTCTCTCCCCCCCCCCTCTCCTCTCCTCTCCTCTCTCTCTCTCTCTCTCTTCTCTCTCTCTCTCTCTCTCTCTCTCTCTCTCTCTCTCTCTCTCTCTCTCTCTCTCTCTCTCTCTCTCCTCCCCCGCTCTCTTTCTCTCTCTCTCTCTCCCACCCCCGCTCTCTCTCTCTCTCTCTCTCTCTCTCTCTCTCTCTCTCTCTCTCTCTCTCTCTCCTCTCTCTCTCTCTCTCTCTCTCTCTCTCCCTCTCCTCTCTCTCTCCCTCTCTCTCTCCTCCTTCCCTCCCTCTCTCTCTCTCTCTCTCTCTCTCTCTCTCTCTCTCTCTCTCTCTCTCTCTCTCTCTCTCTCTCTCTTCTCTCTCTCCTCCCTCCCTCCCCTCCTCCTCCCTCCCTCTTCCCCTCCACTCCTCTCTCTCCTCCTCTTTCTCGCTCGCTCTTACTTTCTCTCTCTCTCTCTCTCTCTCTCTCTCTCTCTCTCTCTCTCTCTCTCTCTCTCTCTCTCTCTCTCTCTCTCTCTCTCTCTCTCTCTCTCTTCCTCTCTCTCTCTCTCTCCTCCCCTCTCTCTCTCCTCTCTCTCTCTCTCCTCCTCCTCTCTCTCTCTCCTCCCCCCTCTCTCTCTCTCCTCCCCCCTCTCTCTCTCTCTCCCCCCCTCTTCTCTCTCTCTCCTCCCCCCCCCTCTCTCGCTCCCCCCCACTCTCCTCCTCTCCCCTCCCCCCCCTCTCTCTCTCTCTGTGCCCCCCCACTCTCTCTCTCTCTTTCTCCAAGTTCATTTCCATAAACATGACTGCACAACCCCCCTCTGTCTCCCTCTGCCTCTCTCTCTCTCTCGGAAATAAATATGACTATATAACCCCTACACGAAACTGGTTAAACGTTCAATCAAAATGTCAATAGGGCATAGGCATATCCATTCATAAATTCATATAGGCTGAATATCCTCATTGGTTTATACACCTACAAATAATTGGTAACAAAACAGGCATTCAAACTAGACATATTAACTCTGTTCATAAAGAGGCTTTACAAGGAAACAGGTCCGAGGATCCAGTACCTGGATTAACCTACCACAAAATATTAGAAACATCTCCAATCTAATTACTTTCAAAAGGAAATTGAAGGAGTTTCTTTTGAATTGTCAATGGCATCTAATAATTAAATGAGAAGCCAAACCATGTACCTTTATTTCTTCTTGTGGCCAATTTATTTGATCTTATTTTATAATTCCCCTACGGATGAACTTGATATTATCTTCTTTTAGTTTGTATTACTGTACACTACCATGCACATGAACAAAGAACCATTGCAAATAATGGAATGAAGTGGTTTGGAAAAAAAGAAGATAGCCTTTGTCACACAAAGATATAATTCTAGGAAACGCAATTTTATCCTTCTTACGCTGTTTTATTATCGTATCTGCCGATTAGTTGCTGGAGAGACAACTTTGCCAGGTCACCCATTGTGTTGCAACCCATCTCCTCAGTGAGTGAGTCTCCAAGCTTTCCTCCTAGGTGACGTACTTTTCCTACAGGCAAACCATCCCAAAGCTGGCTAACTTCATCCTGTGGTAGGACAGTCTGCTGGTTTGGCTTGTGGAGACCACATGCCAATTTGCTAAGCATCTAAAATTATATAAATAATAAATAATTAGTAATTATTATCACAGATGCTTTCAAAATCAGCATTTTGGATCTGGGTAACATGGATGTCTTGCCATAAAGAAAAAACATTACAATGTAAACTAACTGGAGAGATAATATGGTATCTGCTCAATAAGGAGTTTATCATCATTTTGATGTAGCATAACTGAGTAGTAAAAAAGCAAAATAGCAAATATTTGTGTGGACCTGGCCTATAAGCCACACATTCATGAAAGTTGACACTAAAAGAAACTTAATGCCTAGATTTAGGTATACATGCTTGCAAATAAGAAACCCAAATCTATTGGGTTAATATTTATTTGAATAATAAAAATGGTTTGCATGATAAAGACACATACACACATAAATCCTTTGTTATCACTGAGTGATAACCTGATCACTCTTTAGACTTCATTAGCTTGATAATCAGATTCTTTCTAAAGTTGGTCTGTTTATAGTAGGTTTGATTATCTGAATACAGTATGAGTGCGGAGATACCTAAGGATGGATTGCACATGGTACAATATTGTTGACACCAGTCTCTTGTAAACAGAGGCCAAGTGCAGTCTGAATGGCCATCCTCTACTATTGAGAGTTCTAAGAGATTCATAACCAGAAAGTATATGGTAAAGGGAGGACTGTTTTTTAAGGGAAATAAAAGAAAGAAAGACTGGTAGTTTTCAAAGTGCTAGCTCCTAGCTACCTTTCTATCTTCCTTTCCAGAACTTCTGGAATCCTCAAGATCTTGTGTTGAGAATTTTAGATTTAATACAATTATTAATTTTTCATTTTCCTTATTTACTTATATCTTCATTCTTTCATTTATCTATAATTCAAGCTGATGTGTTTTGCAGCTTTGGCTAATGGAAATAATCTTTTAGTAAGATAGATGTTTCACCACCTATATTAACATATCAAATAAAGGAGCATTTTTTTCCTTGAAATGCCTTGTCACAATTAGTAACTGCTTAAAGTCGAGAAAAGCAGTGTAATTCAGTGATATTCTGGGGATTCATATAGACCTTGTATTACTGGTAGCTAATAACAATGAAAAAGTGGAACTAAACTTCCTTCATGTATACATTCTTTGTACTAACAACTTGTCCTATTTTTTATTGGGTGTTTGAGATTACATAGATCCACCCTATGAACCTAAAGAAAATGGTGCTGAATATGAGGCATTATAGTTTTATAAACAAGAATTCAGTACGTATTATGCCGTTTGACTCATTATCTTTATTCTGATCTCTTAGCTTCTGTGCTGCTCTATATTGCATATATCAAGTCTTGAGCACTATGGACTTCACAAAATAATAGTTCAGTAGTCTTAATCCATTATAATCATTACTATACAATCATAATCTTGTTATTCTACATAAATAAAACATAAAGAGCAAGATCTTAAGTTTACTTACTGCATAATTTATGTAATATATGAGATTTCTTTATAAAAAAAATACTGATTTGGCATAAAAATAGTGGCACATAGCTACCTACATTTATCCAATGTTGAGAAATACCTTTTCTAATGTCAGTACTCATTCAATTACTTTCATGATATTGTTCAATATTCAGTAAAAATCATCTTAATTTTCATAAAAAGGTTTAGATCATTAATAAGTTTGACTATGAATAATTACATACTGAATGGCCAACCTTAGCCCACTGGCCACGGGTTTATGCATTGTTCAATGTTGTTTCTTTGTGAGTTTAGCTGCAAATTGGTGGCTCCACAAGTGTTCAGGTACCAAGGAATCAATGAGTGGGCCCTAGTAACTTCATTCCTTTAATTTGTGGGAAAATGTTTTCTTTCTTATGTTTATTAATATCAATACAGTTACTATTATCATTGACATTATGATTATCATAATGTCATAATACTAGTAAAATTGGAAGCAGATGATAAAAGACTAATAAACAACTCCTTGGTGACTAAGACCTTCTGGCGCCTTCTCTGTGAAAATACAATCATTACACTAAAAATACAGTAGATATGGCATGTATTTATGCCACTGCAGCTAATGGGTTAATCCATCCTTTTTCAGTTCATTTCATTTTAATATATCAAACACTAATATTTGGTTATAACATGCACACCAGCAATTCTTTCATTAGGACTCTCTCTGATAATGATTTGAACAGTCTAGTTAACACTGAAAGGGAACATAGTTAAACCACAATACCATTCAGCCCCAATTAAAAACATTGTTTAGCCAAGTGGTTCCCAAACCTTTTCATTTTGTGGCCTCTGAGCTTTATATAATAATTTCCACAGCCCCATTCTGTGTCAGTCATCTTTTCAGATTCAGTTTTTACTAGTTACGAATAGTGTAATTGTGACAGTAGCTATAGGACAAGAAGACTTTATGGAAAGATTCCAGTTTATTGATATATGATAGATTATTATATGTAAGTACTCTAGGTGAGATAAAATTCAGTTTAATTCAACTTCATAATTTTCATATTGCTCCATGGCCCCCTAGAAAGTGATCCCCAGATTGGCCTGGTTTAACTAGAATATACACTAGCTTCACTGATATTACACCCATCCATTTACACTGGAGTATAATCATACTGTTCTATGGAAAATGCTCATGAGCATTCTTTGGAAATGCTGCAGAAATTCAAATACAACACCAGGTTCTTAGTTGTTTCCATAGTACAACCTGTGTGTGTAAAACCTCATTATCAAGGTGTTTATTGATCCTGTGTTTAACCCAATAATGACGGGTGTCCCATATATGAGACACCCAGAAAAATAAACATTGCTGTGACGTTGGATCGACGCTAGCGCTCCGAATACGTCACAGGCCGTGGCTGGCGCATGGGCAGATTCCGTGGGCAGATTGTCGGCTCCAAAATATACTGGCATTAGTGGGTTAAAAACCTCACTATGACAGTCTGGTGTAAAAGATGTGTAATTTCCATGAAGCTAGTGTAGCTATGGGATAGACAATTCTTTTGGGTTGGTCATATGGTAAAGTGTTCTATTCTCTCTGAGCACTATCAAGGGAGTGTGTTTAAGTCCTTTTCAGGGAGGGTATTCAAAACATATATAAAAATGCATTACATAATGATCAGATTACTTAAATATCTTTCGATTTCACTATAATCACATACCAACACCTGTATATAAGCTGTGACATGCAATTGCATTCAGATTAGACAAAATATAAACAAAAAGTATTAACAAACCTTATTGTGAGTAATCCCTGCTGAACATTTGAACCCTGTCTGCGCCAAGACAGCTGCTCGCATATCTTCACAAATAAGTGCTGCATAAGCTAATCTTACATTATCCCACTGAGGATGGTTGGAATCAAGAGGCAAAGCTGCATCCTCTCCATTTTCAAAAACACTGTTTAACCATTCATGAACACCCTTCTCTCTGACTCCTGGAGAAACAACATGCCATTAATGCTATTACTCTCCCTCCTCTCAAAATCTTTCTCTTCATTATCACTGAACCTTGAATAGACACATTTGCAAAAACCAAAGTTAGTCATCTTGTAGCTGAAAAAAAAAAAAAAAAAAAAAAACACTAAATACCACACACCTTGTTGGTCCCCATCCTTAGTCTTATCATATCCAACAACCCAGCTTGACTTCAGCATATCAGTGGCAATGTGGGTGCCATTCTTCTTCTTGATCCTATCTTCTACTGTTTGTGTTAATTCAATATAGGCTTCATCAATGCTGGCTCTCTCAACACAGTCACTGAACTCGCATAGTACTTTTATAACCTCTTTACCAGCATCACGATACCTGAAAGAAAGAAAAGGAAAATGACAAAATATTCACTTCACCCACTTACGATGGGTGTCACACATATGAGACACCCGGAAAAGTAAACATTACTGGGCTTCCCACCGGTGCAACACTAAATCGGAGCTTGCGCTCTGACAGGTTCCCAGACTCACCTGCGTGCTAATTTAGAAACCGCCCAGGAAATATTATTTTTGGCTTGAAAATGTACCATCACTAGTGGGTTAAATATACAAAATAAAAAAAATCTAAATTCTTTTCCTTTATCTGCAAATTAGCCACAAAAAGTTATTAGGAAAAAATAAATAAAAAGAAAAAGAAAGAAAGAAGAAAAAAATGCTGGCTCTAAAAACACACTGATAGCTTTCAATCTGAACTATTTTGGGCGAATTATGCCTACCACCTGTTAAATGGCGGGTGACATGAACATGTTGTCATGGGAAAGTTTAGCTATGGGCTGTGGTGACACAAACTTTTAACAGCAACATTGTTCTTACAAGGACATGAAGTATGAAAAATGCCAGAAATGCCTGAAGTATTGCATATAGTGTTTACAGTCATTGTCACCTTATCAGCAAGTCATCTTTGCATACTATTCAGTCTAAAGTTACAATTTCCTAGCTTGTCTATACTTATGTGTCATACTTTTGTATGTAATTTGCGATGACACAATGTTAAAGGCTATATCCAGTAGATGATAAATATTTGCTACCAGTATCTGCTAGACAAAAAATTGATTCAGGAAAAAAGAAACATTCCTTTCACCATGCTTTACTCAACAAATGCTTTACTTCTCATATTCCTTCCTTACTATCCATAACGCTTTCATGCATACTTTGTGGTAAAGCTCTGAGTATCCTTCATAGACACTTACTTGGTGAGGTCAGCCTTGCCACGATTTACAGGCACCTGAACCAGCTGGAGGTCAGGGCACTTGCCACGAGCTTCATCTCCCCGCATTCCTCTCTTGACACCAAAGGCTCGTGCTTCGTAGTTGACAGCAATAATTCTGGACAAATCAAACAAATATTAGCATCAAGAGTACTTGATTTTACATGATATATTCTGTCCTGTAGAAACGTTGCTTATAGTAATGAAATAGACTTCTCACTGAAAATGTGATCTATAATACATATAACCAAATTTATCTGTGTTTGAGCACATCATGTTGCATGAAATAAATTTACAGTAGTCTTGATTTTTTTTTTCTTAAACATGGGCAACATTTGATGAAATAACAAACAATATATGAACACCCTTATATAAAAAGATACTATATGCTAAAATGCTGAGTTTGAGTCACTCACAATTACTAAAATCAGGTTTTTTTGTGTACATATTGTTTTTGCAATAAATCTACTCCTATTCTATCATCTACTCAAACATAAACCCATAATCTACCCTAAACATTCACAGTTTACCACAAAGAGACCATACCATCCACAGATTAGGAGAGCCCTTATTGGTAGACATTAATCTACAAAGAATAGAAATGAAAGATTGAGCCACTTACCCACCACCCTTCCAAGAGTTGTACTGTACCACAGCAGCTGGGACCCCTTTTATGTGAGGGTTGTCCCTTTCCTCCACTTGCACATAGAAGCAGTCCATGTCTAGGAGTACCACCACTCTGTCTGTCATCTTGCATTTGTTTGGTTCTGATAAAAATATTCAAAAAAGAAATAACAGAAAGCTGTAAGGGAAGGTAATGGTGAAATGAAAAGCAATATCTTCACAAATCTAAGGATTTTGAAAATGATAATAGTTCCTAAACTTGAATTAGTCAAGAATCTATTTACATTAAAATATAGTAAAAAAAAAAATTACAGAAAGCAAGAAAATTATACTAAACAGGACAAAAATCCTTACCTTAAATTTTATAAATATTTTTAGCACTGCTATCGGCCTCCAAAGCTTCAGTAGCTCAAAACTGATGATGTGTTACAAAGGCTGTTGTAGTACTATGGTAATAAAGTGTGGACCAGAAGGGTCTCACAGCATAGTGGTTCAAGGACTGGCTATGGTAAAAAATTGGGAAGGGCTTCCACTCTTGGAAATGGTCTCTCACTGTCAAATTAAGTCCTTCAAAAGGAGGCACCTTCCAAGCCCTTACAATGGAGTTCATGGCATAAAACTGATCATCTTGGAATTCCTTATAACAATCACTCAGTCTTATTCTTTGGTATCAACAAGTCCAAAAGCACTCCATGTCAAATATTTACTCAAAAGACTAAAAACATTAAATGTACTTATCCACTGTACAATTAAAAATTTACATCACAAGAGGAAAAAGAAAAAAAAAAGTTGCAACACGATCAGCTATTTTTACTACTTGCAGCCTCAGAGCAAATCTCATCCCAGATTTCTCCCTTCCTCCTCGATGAAATAAATTCAGATGCTGAAATCTTGGCACTGATTTCCCGAATGTCCATTGGGTCAAGAGGGAAGTTTTCCTCACTAGATTCTGATGAAAGGGAGCTGGATAAGATATTGCTCAAGTCTACTGTTGTGTTGTGTGAGCCTTCGCTGGTGGATACAGTGGATAATGCTTCTGTCTGCTCTTTGATCACTTTGCTTTCCTCCTCCTTTTCAACCACCTCTTTCTTGATTTTCTTGGTTCCCCTCTTCTTCTTCATGTTAGTGTTTTTTCTATTTCTTCATTATGACCAAGATTAGGTTTAATTCTGGCCCAAGTTCTGAAATTAAGATCCACAGCAATTTATTGTCTTGTGAGGTGAGCAATATGATAAGAGGAAAGAGAGTAAAAACTGAGGGAGCATAAGAAATAAAGAGAAAAGGAGAATTACACCAATACCAACCATACTTTAAAAACATTCTCATTATTGTCAAATCTTACGGAAACTTACTAATTCCAATTCATATTTTTTCTAAAGATATTGATGTTATTAATTACTGTCAATGAAATTCTTATTTAGAGGTTAAACATGATATACAAGAGAATAAAAAATCAAGAAACCACAATGATAATCTGGCCTAAAGCACTCCTTTACTTTTACCTGTTCAATATGCTTATAAAGTTATCCCAGCTCGTAATTCTTTAGCTGCAATATAATATGTCCAAACAACAGCCCATATCATATCAACCTAATGAAGTTTGGTTCCCTTTTCTGTTTAAACCAGTATTCAAAAAAGAAATAATCTGCTTACACCAACAGTCAAAAAAAGACATTATCTGGATTTAAAATGCAGTTATCACTATCAACGTAATACAACCCTATCAATCATATTTTTTTCAGTATCAGTAATAAAGGAGAGAAAAAAAGTTTTGAAATGCCTGGGGAATATAATTCAGAAGGATGTTAATATGAATGCATTACTATTGGTATAGTACATTTTAGGTATGCTTTCATAGATTATACAGTTTCCAGAACCAAGAAACTGGATATTCATGACCATGTACTGTTACAAACAAAAATGCTGAAGGGTAATGCTAAAGTGATATCATGAAACAATTATACCAAGGCTTAATATCACATTATTATGGCATATGCATAATCATAGCAACTATCAATTGAGAAGTATAAACATAAGTATTGTAATCTCAATGCCTTTATGCCTGCCGAGTCATCGTGGAAAGGGTTCTTTTGTAATAGATGTATAGAGTACAACATAACTTGATATGAAATATAGTTTAGAATGACTTAATTCCTACCAATATTCGATCGGCCAGTTTGCTAAAATTGTGCGAGGCCTGACCCAATTAATATTCACATATAGACATGCATATGCTCAGAAATAAATACATATGTCTATCTACCTCATAGATATACATAATCTATATATCCAGCTTTCATATATGACAAGACTGATAGATATGCATTTATTTCTGTGTATATGTAAGTCCATATGATGAATATTCATTGGGTTGGGCCTTGCACACTTTTAACAAACCAGCCGTAAGTCTTTATTTCAAATTTGCAGAATCCGCAAAAAATTCATGGATGGACATAATGTAAGAGTGGACACTCTTCCTTCATCCTAATGAATAACCCATTTCATCTTGAGCAACATATATAAATATATATATATACATATATATATATGTGTGTATATATATATATATATATATATATATATATATATATATACATATATATATATACATATATATATATACATATATATATATATATATATTATATATTATATATTTGTATATATATAGTATATATATATATATATATATATATATATATATATATTATATATATATATATACATATATATATATATATATATACATTATATATATATATTCTATA